ACCTGGCTGGAGGGCAGGTCCGGCGGGCGGAGGGCAGTGAGCAGAGAGGGGGTGGACGGTGGGAATGTTCACAATTCCTCATGAGACCACACGTCGACGTGGGGCGAGGGAGCTGGTCCAGACTGGCGCTGGGAGGGGAGGGTTAGGGATCTGAGTGGAAATGGAGGTATCTTGCATAAATCCCCTTCGTACAACTGACAGATGCCAAGGGAAATTTGGTTCTTAAAAGGGTTAAAGAGTGGAGTCCTGAGTTACAAGTCTCAAAAAATCAGTTTCCATTTATTTCCCTCACTCCCTGTCCTGGCCCATTATGATGATTATATATTTTTTCTCAACACTTAAGAGAGTATTTCCTGTCACTTTTTGCTCTCTTGGTTCTCATTTCTAAGGAGCAGCTCACTGTCATTTCTCATGGTGATTAACAATCTCTTCCTAATAATGTGACCTTGCTACATTTATTTGTCAGGGTGTTTATTTTTAATTTTCTGTAAAAAATAAGAAAGCTCATTCTAACTTATAAACTCAGATCCTATCTTTTTAATTATTGTTTCTAACTTTCCTATTGTATTGGTTATAAATCTAAACAGAAGCAGGATCAATTCACATCTTCGTTCTTCCAGACCAACAAGGATTATGTTATTTTATATGTTATTAGTATGTATGTGTGAAAAATATCTACATATTGAGGCTCATCATACAATTGTCATTTTGCATTCTGTTTAGTGTCAACGCAGGGCACTGTGAGAGTGATTAAGTTCTTGCTAATCTACAGCATCATCATTCAGTCTAGCTTTATTTGTCCTGTGGGTACCCGACAATTCCTTGGGACGGGCATTTGGTGCTTTTCACAAGGACGTGTCCTTGCACAGTTGTGTGGAAGGCACTGGAGCCCACAGTCTCATTGCCGAGTGACAGGAATATACACACGCGAAACTCCCGCATGACAGGCATAGGAACAGGACCCCACCGGCTCCTCCAGCTAAGCCAAAGAGACCAGGGAGACATTTGGTGGCAACCACACACAAAGGTAGTTTTTTGCCAGGGAAGACATTCTTTTTTATACTGTGTCATTTATATAACAAGGATACATTAGACTTGTTATCTAAGGACTTGGACACAAGAGATGATATTTTTCTAGCCTATTTGTCTTGACTATTAGTCTTGATTAAAAAAACAAAACAAAACATTCCATTGTGAAGGACCTTACTGTGAATCTTGCTGAAATAACAGGAGGCTTTCTCTGGGACAGTTGGTAGAACTTGGCCTATTCTTCACCAATGACTTAGGCACTTCCCTCCCTGTTTTCAGACAAGGAACCAACACATACAGACAAAAGCACAGCCGCCAATTCCACTTATTCAAACGACTACTTTAATAGGCGTTAGGAATGACTCCTCCTTAGGAAGCCCGATGGTGAAGTTGGAATGAGATCTCCAGGATGCTAGGTGTGAGTGTGGCACTACTTGGATTGCTGGAAGGGCGTTAAGATCTTCGCACCGCCCGGGGCTGAGACGCACAGAGGATTGAGAAGAAAGCCATTTGAGTCTAAGGGCTTTGCGCTTGATGAGGAGACACACATGCAGACGACTATAAGTTGTTCAGGGCCTCCACCCCGGGAAGAACTTTCCCTTCCAGAAGCTCTAGGCTGGCCCCCCCGCCGGTGCTCACGTGGCTGACCTTGTCCTCCGTGTTCCACTTGGCACAGCAGGTGGCGGTGTCCCCGCCGCCTATAATGGTGACACAGCCCTTGGCCGTGGCTTTGACGATCTCATCCATGAGGGCCTTGGTCCCCTTGGCAAAGGCGTCCCACTCAAAGACCCCCAGGGGGCCGTTCCAGAGGATCATCTTGGCTTGGGCCACGACTTCCGCGTTCTTTTTCATGCTCTCGGGACCGCAGTCCAGCCCCATCCAGCCCGCGGGGATGCCCGACTCCACCGTGGCCTGTCCCACCTTGGCCCCCTCCTCGAACTTGTCCCCCGTGACGAAGTCCACGGGGAGGGTCATCTTCACCCCGTTCTTCTCGGCCTTGTCCATGATGTCCTTCACGATCTTGGCGCCCTCCTCGTCGAACAGGGAGGCCCCGATCTCCATGTTGCTCTGCACCTTCAGGAAGGTGTAGGCCATGCCGCCGCCGATGATCATGTGGTTCACCTTGTCCAGCATGTTCCTGATGAGCTGGATCTTGTCCGCCACCTTGGCGCCGCCCAGGATGGCCAGGAAGGGCCGCTCGGGCTTCTCCAGGGCGCGGGCGAAGTACTCCAGCTCCTTCTTCATGAGGAAGCCCGCGGCCCGCTGGGGCAGCTCCACGCCCACCATGGAGCTGTGGGCGCGGTGCGCGGTGCCGAAGGCGTCGTTGACGTACACGTCGCCCAGCCGGGAGAGCGAGGCCCGGAAGGCCTGCACCTTGTCCGGGTCGGCCTTGACCTTGCTGCCGCCCGCGTCCAGGCCCTTGCCCTCCTCCTCCAGGTGGAAGCGCAGGTTCTCCAGCAGGATGACGGCGCCGGGCGCGGGGCTGGCGCAGGCCTTCTCCACCTCGGGCCCCACGCAGTCCTTCAGGAACTGCACGTCCCGGCCCAGCAGCGTCTTCAGCTCGGGCACCACCGGCTCCAGCGAGTACTTGTCCGGCCGGGGCATGCCGTCGGGCCGGCCCAGGTGGCTCATGAGCACCACGGCCTTGGCCCCGTGGTCCAGGCAGTGCTGGATGCTGGGCACGGCGGCCCGGATCCTCTGCGTGTTGGTGATCTGGTTATTCTTCATGGGCACGTTGAAGTCCACACGCATGAGGACGCGCTTGCCCTTCACGTCCAGCTTGTCCAGCGTCAGCTTGTTGGAGAGAGACATGCCGGCGGGGGGTGGGGGGGGTGGGCCGCCTGCCTGGGGCGGATCTCGGGGCTGGAGCAGCGCTGTTCCTGCTGCTCCGGAGGGAGGAGGAGGAGGAGGAGGATTCCGGGCGGACTCCCCAACGCCTGTGCTCTTGCCCCGCCCCTTCAGCTGCTCCGCCCACCTCTTCCGCCACTCGGCCCGCCCCCCTCCTATGAGGCAGCCATTGTGAGCGTGGGGGGTGTGTGTAGGGGGGGGGAGAAATGGAAAGGAAATTGAGCTCTGTGATTGGTTCGCATTTCTGTCACTCTGGGCTCGCTGTATGATGATTGGCGACAAGTTCAAACTGTCAGGAAGTGATTTGGAGAGCTTGGAGGGAGACAGGGTGGGAATGGGGAAACTCCAGGACCAACTGGGCCTGCAGACCTGAGCCTTCTGGTTCCCCCCCCCCCCACTTAATTACAAAAGCAACCTAACAGGTAAATGTGCAAAGCCCCCAAGCCCTACATTTCCCCCCCCCCCCCCACTTTCTATATCAAATTATAATTCTATGAAAGTCTTTCTACAATGCCAAATGAAGGAGACATTTGAAATAGATTCAAGATAGTAGGATTCTGCTGTTTCCTTCTCTCAATTTATAGTTCATGGAAGGCACAATTTGGTGTTAGATTTTTGTCTTTATGGCTCTTCTGGGGTGATGTTGGAGTGGCATCATGTTTTCATTATATAGATATTTCCATATGTGTATATTTTCATAAATTTACACACACACACACACACACACACATGTATTTCCACTCTCGAACAACTATGAAAAACATTGATAGTTATTTCTACAGTAGAATCCTATAAGACCACAGCAAAGAAATTATTATTATGGGACACAGAAATTGGCGTTAGTTTTTCTCCTAGCTGGTGATATTATCATGAGACAAATCACCTTTTTTCTCCTTTCTTTTTTTCACCATCTGTGCACCTTAGAAACTGAGCTGAATGGGGGCAGGCTTTCCTTGAGGACAAAATTATCTGAGGGAAATGAAAATAGTATTTTTTAAAGTAATATATATGTGGCTAACTGGTTTAAAAAGTGCCTTTGTCTTTCCATAAATTAAATTAAATATGTAGAATGAGGGTTTTGGCTAAAATATATTTAGGTATCATCATATGGCATGTATTTAAAAAGTGATCTGCAAATATTGTAGTCTTTTCAGGAACTTTTCTGAAGTGGAAAAAAAGAAACCTAATCTCTCCTCCAGAGTGTGTTTTTCATTAGTTGTGAAGTGATATACCTCCCAAAGGAGGCTAGCATGCTAACAGAACTATTTTTACATTTACTATTATTCTGCCCATAAAATTTAGGATTAATCTAAAAAGTAGCTGGATACCAATGGCTCACATCTCTAGTCCTAGCTACTCAGGAAGTTGAGATCTGAGGATCACAGTTCAAAGCCAGCTTGGGCAGGAAAGTACATGATACTCTTATCTCTTATTAGCCTTTTCAACCCTGCCCCTCCAAAAAAATCCAGAACTGGAGTTGGGGCTCAAGTGGTAGAATGCTAGCCTTGAGCAAAGAAGCTCCGTAGAAGCCCTGAGTTCAAGCCCCAGGATACACACACACACACACACACACACACACACACACACACACACACAAACACACACAAACAAGCACACACACACAAACACACACACAGCAATTCAAGTCTCTGTCACTTATTAAAGTCTAGAATAAGTTTAGAAAGAGCAACATAAGTTATTTGATAGCATTATACATAGATTAGCCAACTTAAACATTTTAAAATATCTGATTTTTTTCATTTTATTCTATTTATCTTCCCATCTGTTCACCTTTGCATTACCCAATATAGTTCTGTCGCATAAGTTAATATTTTTTCTATCTTTATATTTTGATTATTATTTTAGGAGCTAAAAAGGTGATCAAACTCAAATAGCCAACTTCCTTAAGTTATAAATAGGTAATTTCTTTAGAATGATTGTATAATCCATTCCCACTGACCTCAGTTATAGATTTTTATTTGAGCTAAGCACTAACAAGGAACCATTCACCTATAAGGACCAAAACCTTAAATGTTATGAGAATGTATTTCATAAGACATTATAATGTTGTATGGTATAGAAGAACAACTGTCATTTCAAAAAAAATCCTGGGAGAGGATTAATATGTTGCTAAGATTAAATTTTATTTATTCCTAAAAGCCATTGCTTATGTAGTCACACCAAAAAAGAAAGTTATGTTTCATGAATTACACCAAGAGAACAATTAGATTCAAATTGAACAGAAAAAGTTGGCATTTAGATCAGCTGGTTATGATAGCATTTTTCAGATAGCGTTTTCCTTCATACAATTTTTTCCTTAGCATTAGTTAGTCTTTGAAAGTGAGTTCCTAACTTCAGGGTAGACACCAAAAATGCACACTGACTTCTAATCTCTTGTGGAGGAGAGAATGTATTATATTTTTTGTTTTAAAATATTTATTGTTTTAAAGAAGATGTATTTAAGAAAAAGTATGTTATGAATGAAAAAGTGATCCTATTGGTCAACTTATGCAGATAAAAAAATCAAATATCTTCATTGTCCTTGGCATGAGAAGGTAAGAGTTACTTTGGTTATAAGTTTCAACATAATGGTAAGGATGAAATCCAGGCTAATGGGTAGGAGAGTGAATTGGCAAAGAACACATAAAGGGAGTAAAAGTCAACATTTCTTTGCACATACTTAACTGGGTGGAGTTAGAATGGATGACTGTAGCTTAGGATTTATGGGCAATGATATAATATATTCTGTGATTTTAGTCCCAGTTTTACTGGGGCAATGATTCTATAATTTATAGTATTCACGACCATAGTCATAGAAAAATACAACTTATAGAATCCTCTGTTTGATTCAATTCACATTATAAATTTATACAACAAAGTCCCAGGAGACATACAGGGATTTCATTATTCTTCAATCCTTAGTAGGAAAGTGATTTCTATAAAAAAAACAAGAAGGAAATACAGAAGAAAAGGAAAAACTCTTTTTAGTTTTGAGTCAGATTTGCAAGAAACAGGCCTCCAACTTTCCAGGTTGTACATGTGAAGTCTAAGCAGACGGTGTGATCATCCTCCACAGGGCTCTAGTTGTCTGTGATCGGCCCATTGAAAATTTTGCCATTACAATTGCAGGAGGCAGCACAATTACTTTTGACCATTGGGTGTTCACAGGTTGCTGTTTGTTTCAAATAGTTGCAGTTAGAATATTTGTTGTTGTGAGGGCAACTGTTGGCTGAAATACAAACAAATAAACTTGTCACTTGAGGATGATGTTCTTGCTTAGCAATGACACAAACTCAATGTCAATGAGGGGGAGGGGACTGAGAATGGAGGCTGACTTCATTACACCCAGATCACTGTGTCCTGTGGAGCATGGAAGTTCTCCACTCTGTGTGTGTGTGTGTGTGTGTGTGTGTGTGTGTGTGTGTGTGTGCGCACGCGCACATGTGCATGTATGCCAGTCCTGGGGCTTGAACTCGGTGTCAGGGCACTGTCCCTGAGCATTTTTGCTCAAGATTAGTGCTCTACCACTTGAGCCACAGCTCCTCTTCTGGCTTTTTGGTGATTAATTGGAGATAAGTGTCTCATGGACTTTCCAGTCTCGGTGGGCTTCTAACCTTGATTCTCAGATCTCAGCCTTCTGTTGGTTAGGATACAGGTGTGAGCCAATGTCACCCAGAAAGTTTTCTATTTTTTAAAAGCAGCACTGAATAAAATAGGTTAATAAAATATTTACTGTACTTTCTTCTATGTACCTATCTCTTTTCACAGTATTTTCAACAATTGCTGAAAAGAAATGTATTTTTTTTTATCTGAGTGAGTTATTGTGCCAGACTTACTGCAGAGTCCATCGTCACAGTTATTTGGACAAGTGCCACACGGTTTTCCTTTGTTGTAAGGGGTATATCTTCTATCATAAATATTACCACTGAAATTAGAAAAGTAGGATGTCAGTTTCCTGAAAATACATCTTATCTAATTTACCTCATAAATTAGTACCCAAACATAAATGGATATCTATTAAATGATGTAATTATTTCAAATCACCAAACAAGAAATAATTCACCCATTCACTCATTTCTTGGGCTACCATCTCGGACCTGAGCAATTGTTGCAATGGGGTAACTGGAGTTTCTGTCTCTAGTGGGAAAATTCTTACGTGTCAAAAATGAATCTAAAAAGAATGGGTAGGTTGTAAACTCAGACAGAATTGCTTGAGGATGGGTAGGCTTCTGGCTATCAGTTGAGATCTTAGTAGATAGTTTCTTAAGTGATTTTTGTGGCAAATTTTGAGAAATTAAAACTTAAAGATGTTATCTTTCTATGACTATTTGAAATATATTAGTATTCCTCTAAAATCCATTGAAGTCTAAGATTTAATCATTTTTAAAAGGTACCAACTAATCACTTTTTATAAACAAGAGTAGATACTTGAGCCAAAGTATGGCTGCAATCACTGTTCTATTCAGGTTCCATTTGCTACCCCATTTTTACCCTTAGCCTAGCATAAAACTGTCATTATTTTGGATCTAAACCTATAAAAACTGATCATACACACTGCATGTCCTCCTGGGGTAACCCTGGGTCTAGGGAATGGCTGTGGAGATGGGAAAACACATGCCTCTTTAGGCATGAGGAAAGAGTTCCGGAAGAATGTTATGCTTTGTCAGGAAAAAATGGTCTTTCTCAAAATTTGGTTAACTATACTTCAACTAAAGAAAACCATTTTTATTCCTCTCCTCTTTTCTAAAGTATACTCGGAGCTGGTGGTTGTTGTTATATGATCACTTAATAATATTAAATTTCACTTGGTGTTATTGAAAGCAAACTCTTTTTTTTTTTTTGGGAGTCCAGTCATGGGGCCTGAACTCTGGGCCTGGGCGCTGTCCTTCAGCTCTTCAGCTAAAGGCTAGCGCTCTACCACTTGAGCCACAGCGCCATTTCCAGCTTTTTTCTTTTTGCTTATGTGGTGCTGAGGAATCGAACCCAGGGCCTTGAGCATGCAAGGCAAGTGCTCTACCACTGAGCCACCTTCCCAGCCCCTGAAAGCAAACTCTTGCATGGATACTTACGCAGGACAATACTGGCACACCATGAAGACTTTTAAAGATTGTTTAGGGCAGTAGGAAACTCCACACCCAACAAGATGAGATGCGTACCAGACCACCTACACACCATATGCAAAGACAAGAGTGGGTTAGAGGAGGGAGGTCAGTAGAACAAAGGAAGAACTTCATCATCAAAAAGGCTGTCACTGGCATTCTCTGGATGGAGGTATAATATTGAATAAAACTAAAAAGTCTTTAGAAATCTCACAACTCCACATATATTCATTTTTGTGTTTATTTAGCCTATTAAAAATACAGTGTGTTTCTTTGCCAGTCTCCTACAGATGACTAAAAAGACAGCCTAAATACCCAAGACACTTCTAGATCCACACAAGACTTTCCCCACCCCTGGGATGAGGATAGCACTGCACTCCTGTAATTCCTTCATGCAGAAGTCTGGGACAGGCAGATTGAGCCTTGGAGAGCATCGTGGGTTATGTAGCGAGATAGTTTTTCAGAAAGAAAATAAGTGTTTGTCAAATTCAAACACTGCACAAGTGCAAGTTTGGAGTTCTCTTCAAGATCACCTAGGGTTGGGGTGTTTTGTGTTCTTACCTGAGTGTAATGTCCCACGACAGCATCAGAAGTCTTTGGGCCTACACCAAAGTTCAAGTCAAAGTGCTCATCATACCAGGTTTGGATGGCATGGGACCATGTGGTGAGGTGACTTGACATAAAGAGATTCTCGCCACAGCTCATATCTAAGGATGAATGGATGATTCAGGAGGAAGGCAATGGAGCAAGAAAATAGGACCCCTCCTCCGCCACCAACGAAGCCCCTTCTCTGCTGACGTAGTACCATGGTTGCCATGGCTACTGCTGGTTCTTACAACCATAAAGATGAAGCCACAGGTTTTAGGATATGTCTGGCACCTGTGGACTGGACACAACCCTGCAAAGCTGTGCTTAGACTGAGAAGTCTCTATCTTTGTTATCCACTCTTCTTGAACACACTCATCTACATAGCATGCTCTCCATATGTGCCAGAATGTTTGGCTTTGTGTTGTAAATGTAAGGAGTTAGACACCAAATGGTATATTTTGACTCACTTTCTCACCAGTACTCCCCAGAAAACTAACTTCCTACCTGCCTGCCTGCCTGCCTGCCTTCCTTCTTCCTTCCTTCCTTCCTTCCTTCCTTCCTTCCTTCCTTCCTTCCTTCCTTCCTTCCTTCCTTCCTTCTTCCTTCCTCCCTCCCTCCCTCCCTCCCTCCCTCCCTCTCTCCCTCCCTCCCTCCTAGTCTCCCTCTTTTTTTCTTCCCTTCCTTACCTTCCTCTTTCTCTCTTTCTCCCTCCCTTCTTTCTTGCCTTCCCTTTCTCCTGTCCTGTTCCCTTCCCCTTTCCCTCCCTCTAGTTTTCCTTCCCTTCCCTCTCTCTCTCTCTTTTCTTGCCTCGACTATTGGGCTTTTGGATTCAAGGCTTCGAACTTTCTAGGCTGGTATAACCATTGAACCATAACTCCAAATCAAATGAGATTTTCACAGAAATATGAATAGTTAAGATTGTTATTTTGTATAGACTTTGTAAAACTCTTATAGTTTGTCCTTAAAAACCCCAAGTATTGCCAGGTGCGGGTGGCTCATGCCTGCAATCCTAGCTACTCAGGAGGCTGAAATCTGAGGACTGCAGTTCAAAGCCAGCCTGGACAGGAAAGTATGTGGTACTCTTTATCTCCAATAAACCACCAGAAAACTGAAAGTGTCACTGTTGCTCAAGTGGTAAAGTGCTCACCTTGAGCTGAATAGCTGAGGGACAGCGCCCAGGCCTAGAGTTCAAGTCCCACAACCAACAACAACAAAAAACAAATCCACTAGATAAACATAGTATTTTCAAAGTTTAGGAGTGTTGTCTGAATTAGTCAATTAGAATATTACAGGCCAAAGACTTAAAGAAAAGAGTGTCTTCCAGCCAAAAGTATTTGAATATTCTTTTCAATACCTACTAATAAAATTTATATTTGAATGGTGAAATGCAATGCTGATATGTCATCTAAAGGGGGTGTAAACTACTCTTAAATAACTTCAAACTGGAAAGGAGCTAAAGCTGTGATTTTTAAAGACAATGCTTTACAACTTTGAAGATTGTAACTCCTCTTCATAATTTCATTGTAATTATGATCATCGAAATGAAGTCCTGCCTTCACAAAAGATGTCATTAATTAATTACAAATTGGTCCTGACTTGATATCATTTTAATAACAGCATTTTGTCTTGTATATATTTTTGCCATTCTTTTTATGTTTCTGAAATGTCAAGATCATGTCTCCTAGGTTATTTTTACTCAGCATATAATTTGTGTTATAGGCACCAAGAACACACAATACTTGCTGTCATAAAAATTAAGGAAGAGAGAGCTGTGTACACATATCTAACACTTGAAGGGCTAGAATAGGGGCGTAACCAGGTAGACGGAAGCCTGGGCTACACAGAGACTTTGAGGCCAGTCTGGACCTTACAGTGGAGCCTTCTTTAAAAATTATCCTCAAGAAAATAGTAAAGGTAAATGCTATCATTCAACTTTTTTTTCTAATTCAAGAGCAGACACTAAAAAATCATTTCTACAATCCTGATAAAGCACATGAGCCCCACAAAAGCAAATATTCTTAGCAGACAGAAATTCCCTATATTTGTCCCTAATTTCTACTCAGTTCTTCCCTGACAGTTGGTTCTCACTGTGTAAAGGTAGAGGAAGCTATGAAGAATGAACTGCTGCTGAATTCCTGGCAGGAGGAGCGATGGATGAGAGTCCCTACATGAGAGGCCCTTCCACTCCAGAACTGCAAGAAGGAGCCCTCGGGACTCACACACACCGAGATACTTGGCTTGAGAAGACCAGCATGGGAAGGAGGATTAATTTGTAAAGGGTTCTTATGGGTCCCAGAGCTGTCCTCACTGCGCTAAGTGCTTACTAATGTACGTACTGGTTCTTCTGAATTCACGGTCACTGTGTTTGTAGTCACACTTCTCTGCCCAATTTTGGGCATTCTTGGCAGCCTGGGCGCTCCAGCTCTAAAAAATGGAAGGAAATGAAGATTTCCCTTAACCACAATTCAAAACGCAAATGCACATCACCTTCACAGTCAGGGTGAGGGCTTATAAAATGTCTGTGTGGGTGCCTTCTGAATTTTCACCACATCCACATCATACCTACATATCACATACATATATGACACACAATATATAATAGATAGCACTGATAGACTTCCCAGATGTGACAATTCTATACATTAGCATGTATAGGTGCTAATATTTATCATTAGAAAATAGGTTTTTATGCTCTGGAGAAATGCTGATAGTAGATATACTAGCCCAGGTCACTAACAATTCTAAAATAATTATTTACTTGACTAAGTACATCTAAATAAAGACATTAAGTACTTATTTCGTTCTAAATATTATTAAACATGTAGAAGTATGGAGGTGTTCTTCACCTCATCATATTAAGATGCTGCCTTCTTAGTTCCCAGTTCCTTTTCTTTTTCTCTGTCTCATGGAATACATTTGGGGAACATGGATTTCCATGATATACAGAGAACAAAGAAGTGGACGGTTGGTTGTGTTTAGTATTGATCCCAGATTGAGACAGACAGAAAGACTAGTGAGCAGAAAACACACTGGTCTTTCATTGGATGCCGTGGTATGTGGTTTCCTTTCTGCACCCATGGTGAAATGCCCACAAATTCTCCTGCAAGTTATTTAGCAGTTCCCAGGGGAACTCAAGTCATCCATTCCCAACCACAACACAAGGGCAGAGCCTCCTGAGCCAGCAGTTCCAGAGCCCTTGCAGGCCGCCGGCTTGCCCGCTTTGCAGACATGACGGTGTCTCCTACCATCTTCAGCATGTTGCTGGCGCTGGGGGAGACCATTTTCCTCAGTTGGTTGTGTTTATCTACAATCTCCTTCTGGATAGAGCTCAGGGTTGTTGACACAGATGCCACATCTTTGTCCTAAAGGGAAAAAGCATCTAAATGTTACGTTTTGTGGGCTTGAAGTTGACATAGAAGAGGCAATCACCTGGTTCAAGTGAACAACGCCCATGTTTCAAAAGTGTAAGTTCAGCCAGTGTTATCTGTTGCACGTTGTCCAGGAATCTGACTCAGAACAGTCACGTGATTTTATTCATTGCAGGACACTCCATGTTTCATTTAAGGAGTAGCATGCCACAAAAGCAAGTTTATGGAACATAAGCACACGATGGATCGTATGAAAATGTGTGAAAAGATTCTGTCCATAAAGTAAGTATCAAGCAATAATGAGTTTGGAAAAAAGTGAACTTTAACTGATGTGAATTTCCATGTATTTTATATAAAGAGCTCTTGCAAATTTCCTCCTAGAAGGATTAGCAAAGGCTCGGAAGAAGGCAAGCCCGCACAGCCAGCCAGTGCTGGGACACACAGCCTCGGTCGTTGGGCAGCACAGAGATGAGACACAGTCCCCCTGCGTCCAGCAGGCTGGCTCACAGTGTGGCGCAGTGAGACTGATGGGTGCTGGGGAGGGAGGAAAGGAGAATGCTTGCAGATGGCTGGTGCACATGTGTGCGATGGTAGCTTTTCCCTGGAAAGTGCTGTCTGTTAAATGACCCAGCCATCCCGTTCTGGGGAGCTAACCCAGAGAAACGAACCCGCCAATGAGAGGTATCCATGGGAAAGGACAGTTGCCGTATTTGTTTGTTCCTCAGCCATCCTGGAAGCTAAGTGGATCCTGATGAGTGTAGAAATGGTCGATGGTGAGAAATGGTACAGGAGAGTGTAAACTTGATCACCAGCCCATCTGACTGAGAAGAGTAGCTATGGGGTATTACTGAGAAGAAGGATGGGAAATGTGGGACTGGTGGCCTGCTGCCCCCAGGGCTGCCTGGCCAGGCACTTTACCTTAGCATACCTACCGTATTCCCCACGGCCGGGGAGAATGGACACAGCACAGCGACCAGGAGCAGCAGCACTGGGAACGGACCCATGGCTAGGAAGAAAGAACAGAGGGAGCAAAATCCTCCATTACAATAGGCAGTGCACGGACTTTTGGGTGACATAGGGTGGGGGAAGAAAGGAGATCCACCGACCCACATTCCTTCCTTCCAGTGTGGCCCTTTTACAATACTGCCTTCAAGTCACGGTAAAATGGGGGTTCGTGCATGTCAGTTTATGAGGACAATGCATCTTGATTCATGTCACCCCTTCCTTCTCCCTCAGCCCTCCCCTTGGTTTTCCTAGTTCCATTTTCTCTTATATACATCGAATGTTCTGACTGTATCGTCTGCCTTTCCTCTCTTCATCCCTTACCCCCGTCCTCTCGAGCTCACATCCTGACATCTCAAGTTCCAGATTCCTGGTGTTCATTTTGCTTAGGCTGGGGTTAGTTATTCAAAGGTGTTCTATCATGGACTTTCTCTCATGCCTATGCCAAACTTTAGTTCATACCTTGGAGTACAGGTACATATGACCCAGTGTATGTGAATGTGACATGAAGTCTAACGTCCACAAATGAGAGAAAACAAAAACAAAAACATGTGTCTCTCAGCAGCAGTATTGTGATCTGAACTCAGGCCCCCAGGAGCGCCTCCATTCGGAGCGATAATGGAGCACCCCTAGCCTTGGAGCTCACCCAGCTTCCCTTATGACCTGGAGCAGCTCCTCTTTCTCAATCTCTCTCTTATCTTGGTAGCTTCTCTGTGGGTTCTAGGAATGGCTTCTTCACATTGTCCCTTTAGCAGTCCTAACAGCTCCAAACCAGCTACCATCACAGGTCTGTACTATGCCGGGTCTTGCTGCTTATCCTAAGCCCGGCTTCCATCTCTACACCTAGTCCTTATGAACATTTCTTTTTTTTTTTTTTTTTTGGTCAGTCGTGGGGCTTGAACTCTGGGCTTGGGCACTGTCCTTGTGCTCTTCAGCTCAAGGCGAGCGCTCTACTACTTGAGCCACAGCACCACTTCCAGTTTTCTAGCGGTTTATTGGAGATAAGAGTCTCATGAACTTTCCTGCCCAGGCTGGCTTTGAACTGTGATCCTCAGATCTCAGCCTCCTGAGTAGCTAGGATTACAGGCGTGAGCCACCAGCGCCCAGCCTTATGAACATTTCTTTCAGTGAGAAGTTAGTATGGGCCGTTTCTTTTCTGTCAGGGCTCTGACATTCTTAGGACCCCGAGTGAATCCTATAAGAATGTGGTGTTCTCTTACTATTCGGGACTGCTCTTCTTAATTAGACTTATGCAAGCCTGTGTGTTAAACCACTCACAATCAATCCCTGAATCCTGGCCACATTCGCGTTCTCACCCGAGGTATCTTAGTATGCTAAATGCAACCACATGGTTTTCCTTACACATTTGATTTCTTATGCTTCCCAGGAGGGCAAAAGCTATGTTGTAACAGCTTTAGACTTAATTTTTTGTATTGTGTTAGTATATAATGGTAAATTCATTTTATGAACTACAATAGCAAGATAAACGTCTAAGTAAATTAGGATGCATTCTCTTATAAAGGATATTAGATATGAAAGCTACTATGTATTTCTGATCATTTTGACATAAGAAAAATGCCTATGGTTTAAAGTTAAGTTCGAACAAAAACTATTTATCTGTTATGGAGTGGAACTTCATCTGCGGATAGGCTGACCACTTTGTGTCTGTTTTTGGACCTGAAAAAGAAGGGTTCTAACCCAATAGGACTTATTAAAAACAAAACACCAGAACGTTCTCTCTGCCCTTTTTTTCCCCATCTCTCTCCTCAAACAAAGCACAGGAAAGAGCAGGAAGAAAGTGCTCGCCAGGAACCAACCCTGCTGGCATTTTGATCTTGAACTTCAACATCCGGAGCTAGGAGAAAACCATGGTCTGCTGCTCGGATCACTGAGTTTGATATTTTCTTATGAAGGCCAGCGAAACGAAGGAGCATTCTCCTTGTGAATATCTTAGAGTGAGGTTAGGTTATGTTTGAGTGAGTTTCAAGGTTTCCACCGTGTAGTGATTTCACGAGCGCGCACAGGGTGGATGTGTTAATTGAGCGCCCTGCCAGGGTGGTTTGGCTCTGGCTGCCATCTAGCATCTCGGCTCCAGCAAGCTTTGTTTTCCCTGTGAGTATCAGAGGATAGACAGGCAGTACTGTCTTCAAGGCTGTCTCATTGCTTAGTGGGGTTGGTAACATGGGGGCGTAAGGAGACACCATTGGAGATGAAGAAATGGATGACAGAGTCACCTCCTGGGGTTCTCATGAGTTAAGAGAAAACCAGTAAAAGGAAAATACTTTAAAACCGTGATTGTTTCCTCTGTGAGCATATTGCTGGTACAAATGCCATCACGTGTGTGGAAGACACGCTCCTCTCCATTTTTGTTCTGTTACAGTTGGGCATCAGGTGGCCACCCCAATGCCCGTTTGCTGGGGACAAGGTCCCCAGGGTACAGCAGTTTTGGAGGAGGTGACTACACCATGTGTTTTCTCAAACAGCATGGTATCCTTGTGCAGTAGCTGATGACAGCGTGCTCACAGTAGCCAGGCTCTCCTTGCTTATTTTGTGCCCATATGCTATCACCAGCAGTGTTGTTTCGGTGGCTGCAGAATTTTTCTAATGAAAGGGAAGCAAAGGTTTCCTTAAGGCAACAATAAGAAGTGAAGCAAATTACTTTTGGTGGTATCTCCACAATAGACTCGGCTCTTGCCTGTTTTTCTTGGGAACAGCAAGACTTCTCTCCACTATAAAAATATACACACATACAATCTCACACACGCACTCAAACATGCAGACACAGACAAACATATACACACATATACATGTATACATATACACGCATGCCTGCACACACATGTACATGCCTGTGCACACACACACAAACACACACACACACACACACACACACACACACACACACACACACACAGATCACGAGAGATACATATTTCCCCAGATTCTCACACTACCTTTTTTGGCTTCAATTTTTTTAAACCTGTATTTCCTTTTTGTTTCTCTGATTCCTTCAACATTCTTTTCCCCCTCCATCCTGATAAATAGAAGTCAAGCATGTACTTTTTAAATAGAATGCTTGAAAGTAGGCACAACTTTTCCTACCCAGTAATTCTCAAGTCCTTGTTTCCTTTATAAAGTGGGACTGTTATTATTCCCTACTGTGCTTAACCGTTTGCTGCTAATCTTTAAGTTTAACTTCGGGGGAGGGGGAGGGATCCAGCATTTGGAGGAGTCAATATGAAGCCGAGAAAAGCAGCCAGTGCTGGTGATTCTGGATCTGATGACTGAACCCACTGTTGTCCCTTGGGTGTTGTTTGTAGCTCAGAGGGAGACATCCTGGGAGGATCTGGGTAACCTCTGAAGAAAGTAGCCTGGCCGCAGGGCCTTGGGTCAGTGGTGATCGCTGTTCTCAGAAGGGGTTAAAGTCGTTGTCTTAGAGTCTGATGGCAGCGCTGGTGAATTGGTAGTTACACAGCTGGAGTGGGGCCTGACTGAGGCCTCTGGCTCCGATCCAGGGGTGTGCCCGCTCACACCGCTGTGTTCTCATTGGAGTGAGACACTATCCTGACTGCCCGCATACCACCATGGCTAAGGACAGTGCCGGGCCTCTGAACGGGGAACACTGTTTGCTAATTCACCTTTTTGTCTTCTTTATAAAGTGACCTTGCCTCCTGTATTGTATTGCAGGCATGCACAGATCCCAGTGCTGGGTAAAGCCCCTTGCATAAATGAAGTACCAAAAAAAATCCTAACAGCACATAAACCCAATGATTTCAAAAACACAACCTTCTGGGTCTCTGTGCATGAGCAGCTGGTAGGTACCGGACTCTTGTTCCTAACAGGTATGTGCTCACATAAGAAAAATACCAGCCTTAATTAAATGAATGTGAGCATCATTTATAATCCAAGTACAAATTCAGACTGGCCCATGAATAACTAAGTGATCTTTTACTTTAAATTTTTTATTTTTATTTCTTTTTTCATAGCAGGGATTCGACCCCAGACCGTGGGCACAGCCCAGTGTCCTTCCTCGAGAGCCTTCCTCCCAGCCCCCGTCCAACCTCAGAAAAAGTGAATGACCGGGTGTGTTTTTGTCTTTCTATAATGGTTATCACGATGGATTTTGCTTCTCTCATGATGAATGTAATGTTACTCTAGGAACAGACAAATGACACGAACTGTCAGAGGTGGCAGAATGTGAGAGGGCAATCCGGGGCATCAAAAACTCTGAGCAATGAAGATCACCACATAATATTGGGGAAACTGGCTTGCCAGCTAGAGATACAAATGAGCTAGAACCCAGTTCCTCTAAAACCATCACCTGTTAAATATAGATGAATTAAGCCTATCAGTAGATAAAATAATTTGCACACACAATTCTGTTTTGGGGAGTGCATCCTTTGCCCTAAGTTAACCCCGTACAGTAATAACATAGATATGCTGATGTGTTTTGTGCCAAGCACTGGGGCACTCCCTGGAAGTCTCATTTAAAACTCATAAAAACCTAGTTATAGATACGGTTACCCCAGTAACAATGAAAAAAGTATCTTAGGATCAGAGATTTAATAATGAGTTGCCATGAACGTTTGAGTAGTCAAGTTAATTGATAAGCCCAGTCTGTCTGTCTCCAAAGCCCTCCATTCTGAGAGCAGGGGCTAGAAATTTTGTACATGAATAGATGGAAAAGGCAATCGCTCCGGTCATCGACACCCACATGGGATGTATTTGTCATAGGTATGGATGTATTCCTTACCAATCACAGCGTCAGGAAGTATCGGCATCTGTTTTTCTAACTTGGATATAATATCCAGTCATCATTCGGATCACTCTTCTTTGTTGATACCATTTCAGCATGCTGGCTTTCATAGATCACATATTAAACACACCCGTCGGAATTCTTACCTGAACCTGATTCATGTTGCTAGAAGTTTCTAATACTGTTTCTCAATTTACCTCCGTCTCTGCCACAGTCCAGGAACTGCAGCTGACTCACTTGGAACTTTCAAGAGCGGCTCCTGGGCTGGAAACTAACCAAGCCCACTTCTTTTGACTTGCCTTCAGGAGTTTAGTCACACAAATAGGCACTCAGGGCGCTGGTATTCACTAGCAGAGGAGCTGACCCTGGCCTCTGGCGGTACTGTCTTCCTGGATGGCATTTATAATGAATACTTTCTGAAAGGAACGTCTCCTCTGGAGTAGAACAGCTGCTTTTATTTTGATCTGAGCTATTTCTTTTTTGTATACTAATCAACTCCAGAGGTTTGCCACAAAATATAAAGATCTCAGTGGACATAGCTACATAAAATATACACAACAGATACTACAGTATATCAAATAGACATAACAGATTGCCCCTATAGATTACCTATATAAACGTAGCTGCCGGAGTAGGTTGTTTTTCGATTGGAAAACAAAGTCATTTTTTTCCTTTTTTATCATGAGCATGTACATGGGGTGAATTATATGTCTAATAAATGCAATTTTAAAATATACTTATCCAAAGATCCTATTATATGTTTGTTTAGACTTAAGCATTTTTAAATGAATAACTTCTCATTTTTTATTCTAGCAATGTACATATGTAAGTATTAGCAACAATGACTCCCTGTATATAATTATAGTTTTTCAATTTTCTAGTAAAGATAGTTTTATAATTATTTATAGAGCCATATATGTGAAATTCTGTTGCAATGTTAACTTTAGAATTTAAAAAAATTCATACAAATGTCATTTTGGTTTTCCTTTTAAAAATAATTTTTATTCTCTTTCTGTAGTTGTATAAAGGAGGTGCCATTTAACAAAGCAGTTAATGAATGCAGTATACCTTGATCAATGTCACCCCTTTCCACCTTCTTGTCCATCTGTTCCCTACCTACCCTTTCCCTCACTCATCTTAATTTTATAGGATTCTTGTTGTAGCAAATGTCATTTTCGATGCAAATGCTTTTGGTATAGTAGAGCTAAATAAATGTTTGCCCTTTTAGACTCTCAGACTTAAAAGAGTATATTAAAATAATTACTTTGGATGAAAATGATCAGGAGAGACTTAAAAATCATAGTCAAATTTCATAAATATATCATTTTGCTACTGCAAGTTTTTAATGCATAGGCACAATGAAATCCATCCGTTAAAACAAAGGAACGGTTGCTTACCGTGGTGTCTCTAGGCAGATCAAATGTCTGCTGTCCTGCTGGATGGAGGGAGGAAGGTGGCTGGAGCAGCTCAGGGCTGCATATATATTACTCCTGTTTCCTGCACTGGCAAAATCTGGTCAGGCAAGTCAGGCTTGGTCAACAAGGTCAGAAACAGGATTTGTCATAGCAGTTGACTCCAATTGCATTGCCAGTCTGATCTGAAATTTTAACATTATCTGGTGACATTCTGTGTGATGATGGATGATAAATGGTTGTGAAACTTGTGTGCTTATGCACACATATTCTTCAGGGCTCACCCTTTCCTGTAACTTTTTCCCCATCAAGTGCACTGAAAATTTCTAACCAAGTTACTCTCACTACAACAGCTACATTTTCAGGATTACTTGTAGAAGAATAAGCTGAGCTTATTGCTTGCACAAATGCTAGCAAATCCAAGGTTTTCTAAAGGAGATTTAAAATGCGAATTTGTCCTGAATTTGGAAAATAACTTGCTGTTTTTACCTTGGTAAAGGTGATACCATTGTGTCTCTTAGGAGCAAATGGCAAAGGATACCAGAGTTCCCTAGTACTGTTTCAATTATCCTATATCGGCTATTTTCTGTGTCCATGAAGCTGAACCGAACAATGAATACATCTCACCATTGAGCTTGAGCGTCTCTGGAATATTCCCAATATTTCTAATATTTCCAGGTTTCTTTTCCATGACAACAAATGGCATTATCATTTATGGTATCATTATCAATGGTATTAGCTCTAAAACACAATGATCTCCATACTGTGGTTTTTCTACACAAACACATGTGAGTGACAGGTGGCTCTTTCTAGCTCTGGCAGGCATTGCTGGATGCTCGTTGTACCAAACAGATGCAGTAATGTGTTTATTTTCATCGTTACTCTTTTCTTTATTAGTGTATGTGACAAAAAATGTACAACAGGCCAGTGCCTACTCCTTTACTCCGTAAAGGAGTATATAACTCAGTGTAGATTTTGCCATTAACAACAAAAAATAAACACCAATGATTTTGCTGCCATGACTCTCTGTCGAACCCTGGCATCACGATATTCCACGTACAAGTGAAGCAGAGAGCTCTCAAGAGGAGAAACACATGCTCAGCACCAGTGGCTCACACCCATAATCCTAGCTACGCAAGAGGCTGAGATATGAGTGTTGTGGTTCAAAGCCACCCTGGGTGGGGAAGTCCATGAGACTCTCAGATGAATCAGAAGCATCCTGGAAGTGGAAGTGTGGCTTAAGTGGTAGAACACTTGACTTGAGTAAAAATCCCAAAGCAGAGCAACACAGTCTGAATTCAATCCCCAGGAACAATGTGCGTGTGTGTGCGCACGCGTGCGCACACACACACACACCACATGCATGAGACACCCTTGGATCTTCCATCTGGACTGCCATGTCTCTGTGGGAGAACGTGTTTCACAGGTAAGGACTCCATCTTCTCTTCCTAATGATGTCGAATATTATTAAGACCTTGGGATTTATCCTCTAATGAACGTGTGTTAAATTTCTGCACCAGTGTGCATTGCAAAATTATTTGTCTGTCTATAAATTTTGACATGTGTAAATGGAAATAATATTTTTTCTATGTAATTGTGATAAAAAAAATGATAGAAGATATGTAGGCTCATTGAACCAACCAACATAATGATCTCCAGCTCTCTCCATTTATTCTTCAAGTGACATAATTTTACTTTTCTTTGTGGCTGTATAACACTTCATTTTCCATAGGTACCACATTTCATTTTTCCGTGTTTATAGGATGATGGGCACCCACTTTATGGCAGGAGAGGAAATAATTTGTTAGTTCCTATAATAGCAGCATCTCGCAGAACTCTAATAAATATTTGTTTAAAAATGTCTAAGTGAAATGTATGATCACTAGGAGAGGCTGAAGCAAAATTCTCCAGGCACTCATTCCTTCAAGTCACTCAAGTTTTTAATCATTATCACAATATATGACACAGTATGAAAATGCATTAGAAAGAACATTGTATTTTCAAAAACTTAAGAAAAATTTAACAGAATACTTTGGGGGTATTATTCTTAGTGTGTTTTGTATATTTGCTTTTACAATTTTTTTTTCATCCCAAAGTGGAATTCACACTTTGTCTACAAAATGAACCCCAGTGACACTACATGATGAATTTGAAGACTAACAGACAACATTTTGAAAACTGTCTACCACTGAGTGATTCTAGAAATGTGTGTGCTTTGGGGAAGAATGACAGCTACCCAGTATATCCAGTACTGGTGTGGGTCTGAGAAGGATTTGTCCCTAACGGAACTCACAGGAAGGCACGGATGTAGGGCTTGTTAAGAAGAAACAATGCTTTTCTTATGCTGTGTGTAGAGTGCATCTACTATCAATAGTGTCTTGTTAGAAAACGAGCGTGACATTTCACTCCTCATCCTCCCTGGGAACTACTCATCTGCAGTTACCCTCTGTTCCCTTTGCTTCCAGCCTCCAGGGATTCAGCCAAAAACCTGTGGACTGACGTCCAGCCTCCACAAACATGAAGGAGGATAAATCTTTCCAGGTCCCGCTCTTCTTTTCAAGCAGCACAATGTGTGGACTTGGTAAAGAACAGATCCTACAGGTGGTAAAGCCCATGAAGCTACTTTATTGAGCAACAGTAACCATCACTAATAATTGCATTTGGATGTGTGTATGTGTAATTAACAAAGATTAAATCTCCACTGTCGAAGAAAAACTATGAGGAAGGAAGATGTATCTTTTGTTGCTTGAGCAAGAAGTTTATTGGTTTTAAATCCCTTGAGCAATTAAGCCAGGATCAGTGTGCTTTACAATGATGTATTTTACCTCTGACAATTAAACTATGAAAGGTTTACATAGAAGTAAAGCATGCAAAAATCAGAGGTTAACGATGCGCGATTTGTAAATAACCTTTCAGGCAGTGGTCTGGCAGGAATAGTGGCAAGGTTTTCCAATGAGTTTAACTGCTTGGATTAATGTTACCGTCCTTACTACTAAATTTAAATTTATTAATACAGTCTTTGATTTTTGATTCATGTTACCTAAAAAGAAATATTCTATATCTATATCTTTAACCAGGAAATTGCATTATATGCCATGTTATGAAGTATTTGCTTGAATAATGAGAATTGGTTCTAAATCATTGTTTTGTCCTTACTCAATATTTCCACATATTTTTTTGGGGGGGGTCCGGTCGTGGGGCCTGAACTCTGGGCCTGGGCGCTGTCCCTCAGCTCTTCAGCTCAAAGCTAGTGCTCTACCACTTGAGCTACAGCGCCACTTCCGTCTTTTTTCTTTTTGCTTATGTGGTGCTGAGGAATCGAACCCAGGGCCTCAGGCATGCAAGGCAAGCACTCTACCACTGAGCCACCATACATAATATATAGTGTACATATATACAAAATGAAAACATAAACATATGGTGAAAAAAATATATATATACACATATATATATATGCATAAGTCGGTTACCATTCTCAACTTTTATTTGTAGCATGTTTAACTCCTGACTACTTGATTTTCTTTCTTTCTTTCTTTTTTTTTTTTTTTTGCTTTTTTTAATTGTGAAAATACTGTACAGAGGGGTTACAATTACATGGGCAAGATAATGAGTACATTTCTTATCAAGCATTGTCGCCTCCTCCTTTGTTTCCCCTTCCCATCCCTTCCTAGCCTCCCCCTGCCGCCTCCCCCTCCCCCCCGCCCCTCCCCTCCCCCGCACCAAAGATGTAAAGTTCATTTTCGACATAATGACTTGTACATCTCATTGTTGCAATGGGTCCACCTGTATCCCTATTTAAACAATTTGTTTTTCCCCTTCCCCTCCACACATCTGACTACTTGATTTCATAAACTAAAATTATTGTCTTTGATCAGCAGTATTTCTTCTGAGTGTTATGAGAGATACCCACATAAATGAAAATTTGCATATATGTCATTTTCATACATTTATGTTCTTCATGACTATAATTCCACAAAGAAATTCAAATGTCAAATTAGAATGAGCATTGTATTGAAAAGTCTGAGGACTCTCTTTTCTTTCTTCAGTATTGGGGTCTGAACTTGGGGCCTGGCACTTGCTGGGCATGTGTGCACACTCTGCATGTCCTCATTTGTTTGTTCTGGCTGTGTTTGAGATGGTCTCACTTCCTGCTTGGGTACACAGGTGGCTTGAGATGCATTTGCCTTACACTTCTTGCTGTCGTTGGAATATATGGGCCCCTGCATGAAGTTTCCATGGAGAGGGAGAACTGAGGATGTTTTCCCCTGGACTGGCCTCTAACTGTGATCCTCCTATTTTCACCTTCTGAGTAGCAGGGATCTCAGACAAACGCTATCACGATGGCTTATTTGTTGAGCTAAAGTCTTACGAAACATTTTCCCAGGCTGACCTTGAACTCCAGTCCTCCAGATCTATACCTCCTGATGGTTGGGATTACAGATATGCACCACTGTGGCCATTCCCTACTCCTTTCAATTCTTCATGATTTATGCCTGATCAGTATGTTTCAGATCATAGTTACCTCTGGATTGTTAAACTATAGTTTCATTAGTATACCTCCCTCACTCTAGAGCTTCTTTTGGATCCAATATGCATATGGTTGATGCTAAAGTAAGAACTTCAGATCTCTATCTGTGGGCATGTTACCAGACACCAGTACAGATATTTTGATTATTATCATTTATTGTCATTATTATAAATGACATACAAGTAGACCATGGTAGAAATATGATGGTGTAATTATTTCTTTTAATTTGCTGAGTATTCATCCACAGTATTTCTATGTAGGAAATTATGCTTAATATCTCAGATAAAAATGTTGCAAATTAGATAAACCACTTATTTTTAGCAAGTGATTCCTATCTGCTAGATTTTGAGGAAGACAGAGGGACTGATGTTGAAAAGCATGGGAAATATCACTGTGCACAGGAAGAGGAGGAGAGCAGGAGGTAGGGGAGGAATTAGCTTATCCATTTTCCATTCTTCCGAGCTTTTACACTCACATGGCTGAGAACAACTTCTCTTAGCAGAAATTCGTGGGTAGGACTTTCAGAGTTATAATTCCAG